AGTGTTTAGAACAGTGTCTGCCACATAGTCATTCAATAATTATGTATGTTTTAAAAATTTGAAAGAGATCTTATTATAGTATAATTTGCATATCATAAAATATACTTGTTTACATATAAATGTATAGCTCTGTAAGTTTTGACAAATATCTAAACCTGTGATGTCATTGTCATAACCAAGATACATTTTACTGGCATCTCCTCCCAAAAGTTTTCCTATGCTCCCCCTTTTTCAAACATTTTATTTTGCCTGGTTGGTGTGGCTCAGTGGATTGAGCGCTGTCCTGTGAACCAAAGGGTCTCCAGTTTGATTCCCAGCCAGGGCACAAGTCTGGGTTGCAGGCCGGGTTCCCAGTAGGGGGTGCACGAGAAGCAACCACACATTGATGTGTCTTTCCCTTTCTTTCTCCTTCCCTTTTCCTCTGCCTAAAAATAAATATATAAAATCTTTAAAAAAATAAAATATTTTATTTTGGAATCATTGTGCATGCAGAGGTCCCATGTACCCTTCACTCATTTTTTCCCAATTATAGCATAACTGTAGTACAATTGCAAAGCCAAGAAATCAATGTTGATACGCTCCGTATATCTTAAATCCCCTGTACCCATTTGTAGACTGTCTACCCTCAGGTAACCACTTAACTGCCCTCTGTCATTCTCAATCTGGCTAGCCTTTACTAAAACTGTTTGTAAAGATAGAATTGTACAGTATGTTCTTTTTTTGTGCCTAGCTTCTTTGCTAGCACTATGTATTTGAGATTTATTAATATTAGGTATGTACTCCTTTTAATTGTGGTATAGCATCCTATTGTTTGAATACAGTACAGTTTGCTTATTGGGTTATTGGGTTATTTCAAATTTGGGACTATTGCATAATGAATAAAGTTGCTATGAAGTTTCATTTACAAGTTTTGTGTGTGTGTGTGTGTGGACTTGCTTTCATTTTGCTTGAGTAGAATGTAATTGTTGGGTCATTTGGTTAGTTTAGGTTTAACTTTATAAGATGCAACTAAATTGTTTTCTCAAGAGAATGAACCATTTTATATACCCACTGGGAGTATGTAGAAGTTCCATTACTCCAAAATCTTGTTAACACATGAGATTGCCAGCCTTTAACTTTGCTGTATTAGTGGGTATGCAATAGGATCTTATTGTTGTTTCAATTTGCCTTTCTCTGATAATTATGGTATTGAATATCTTTTCATGTGCTTAATGGCCAATCATATATATTATTTTGCAAAATGTTTGATTAAACCTTGTGCTCATTTTAGAGGGGAGGAAGTAGGGTGTGTGGGTGTTTGTCTTCTTCATTCAATAAATATTTGATGAGGCCTGTCTGGTATGGCTCAGTTTTTTGGAGCATTGTCCCATAAACCAAAAGGTCATGGGTTTTCTTCCTGGTCAGGGCACATTCCTAGGTTGTGGGTTTGGTCCTCGGTCAGATGTGTGCAACAGGCAACTGATAGATGTTTCTATCTCACATCAATGTATCTCTCCCTTTCTTTCTTTCTCTCTGTCCTTCTCTGTAAAATCAATAGACACTTCCTTGGGTGAGGATAAAAAAACATAATAAATAAACAAACAAGCAAATATCTGATGACTAATTGGATATTTATTGAATGACTTAAGCTTGACTTGAATACATGTATCTTCTTTTTGGCCACTTGAAACTGTAGGTATAATACAACTCAAATAAAAGTTCAGATTTTTTTATTAGTATCTTCTAAAATGATCAAGCATAGCAGAGAACCTTGTTTTGAACATGACATTAGAGTAAAGATCAGTAGTTTCCTGTCCTAGGTAGGATATATCATCATCCTAACTATTCCTGCCATCCTTGTGACTTACTCTTTTTGACCATGGGGAAGTTATTATCTAAAGACTTGAATATTGTGGCTTACATGGATACTGAATTACTGCATTATTTCTCTAAGGCTAGAAATGCTCTTACCTAATTTTTATCTTGTCTAAATTTGGAAGGACAATCTGAGCCTTGTTATTCTTAGCTGTCACTGAAGTGTCATTCTCCATAAGAATGAATGTTATCTAGGTTGATATACAGGCCTTCTGTAGATGCTGTAGACTATAATTTGTATTTATAATTTTTAAAAATTTAGTTACCTTCTTTCTAGGCATATATTTGTAACAATATAATTTTTTTAGTTTTATTTTTGTTCTTTTACTGTAGGGAATTAACAAAGAAATAAACCCAAAGCTCCACCCAATTAACTATTGCTTAAACAGCAACATTAATAAAAAAGAAATATGTATTTAGTGTTTGTAAATCAACACAGGATAGTCAGACCTCTATATTTTATCTGTCTATATAAGGAAGAGTGATATCTCCTTTATTTGCCATGCCCAAGACCTTCTCCCTAAAGGAAACTGCTGTTAAAAACTTTCTGATGAGAGAAACATTGAGGCTTCCTGCCAAGATGGAGGCATAGGTAGACACACTTCACTTCCTTGCACAACCAAAAGAAGGATAACAACCACTTTAAAGACAAAAGACAACCAGAACTGCCAGAAAACTGAACTGTATGGAAGTCCAACAACCAAGGAGTTAAAGAAGAAATGTTCATCTAGACACGTAGAAGGGATGGAGATGGGCAGCTGGGGCAGAGAAGATGTGCGGCAAGGCAGTGGCTGGTGGACTAGGTGATCTCATATTTGAGTGTGGATAATCCAGAAGGAACAACTAGGGAGTGAGACAGACCATGCAACACAGGGGTCCAGCACTGGGGAAAGAAAGTTTCAAAAACTCTGGCTGTAAAAACCTGTGGGGATTGCAGTGGTGGGAGAAGCTGCCAGTCTCACAGAGTCTATTGGAGGGGCCTACAGGGTCCTAGAATATACACAAATGCACTGGGAGTCAGCACCAAAAGGGCACAGTTCACTTGTGGGTATTGGGGGAGGTGAGTGGGAGCAGAGTATGAGCTAAGCAAGCAGCATTGTTCCCTCTCTGGCCCCTCCCCCACATACAGCACCACAACACAGTGAGGTGGGTTGCCCGTCTTGGCAAATCCTAAGACTCCACCCCCTACTACATAACAGGTGTGCCAAAACAAAGAAATATTACTCAAATAAATGAACAGAGCAAAACTCCAGAAAAAGAACTAAGTGACAAGGAGATAGCCAACCTATCAGATGCAGAGTTCAAAACACACTGGTAATCAGGATGCTCACAGAAATGACTGAGTACAGCTGCAAAATAAAGGAAGAAGTGAAGGCTATACAAATTGAAATAAAGCAACATATAGAAGGAACCAACAGGGAAGGGAAGGAAACCGGGACTAAATCAACGATTTGGAACAAAAGAAAGAAAGAAATATTCAACCAGAACAGAATGAAGAAATAAGAATAAAAAAATCAAGGAAAGTCTTAGGAATCTCTGGGACAACTTTAAATATTCCCATATGTAAATCATAGGGGTATCAGAAGGAGAAGAGGGAGAGTGAGAAATTGAAAACTTATTTGAAAAAATAATGAAAGAAAATTTCCCCAATCTTGCAAAGGGAATAGACATACAAGTTCAGCAAGCTCAGAGAATCCCAAACAAGTTGGACTCAAAGAGGAGCACACCAAGACACATTATAATTAAATTACCCAAGATTAAAGATAAAGAGAGAATCTTAAAAGCAGCAAGAGGAAAGGAAAGAATTACCTACAAAGGAGTTCCCATCAGACTATCAGCTGATTTCTCAAAAGAAACCTTGCAGGCAAGAAGGGGCTGGAAAGAACTATTTAAACTCATGAGAGGCAAGGATCTACATCCAAGAATACTCTGTCTAGCAAAGCTATCATTTAGAATGGGAAGGCAGAGAAAGTGCTTCCCAGATAAGGTCAAGTTAGAGAAGTTCCTTATCACCAAGCCCTTATTATATGAAATGTTAAAGGGACTTATCTAAGAAAAAGAAGAAGATCAAAACTATGAACAGTAAAATGACAACAAAATCACAACTATCAACAGCTGAACCTAAAATAATAAAAACTAAGCAAACAAGTAGAACAGAAGGAGAATCACAGAAATGGAGATCACATGGAGGGTTATCAGTGGGAAGTTGGAGAGGGAGAATGTGGGGGAAAGGTACAGGGAATAAGCAGCATAATTGGCAGGTACAAAACAGATCGAGGTTAAGAATAGCACAGGAAATGGAGAAACCAAAGAATTTACATGTATGACCCATGGACATAAACTAAGTGGGGGGAATGCTGGAGGGAAGGGGGTACAGGGTGAGGGGTGGTGAAGGGGAGAAAAAAATGGGACAACAGTAATAGCATAATCAATAAAATACACTTTAAAGAACATTCTGGTGATTGATTCTTCCATTATTACATGGTATCTCCTTTTCTTAATTTTATTTGTATACAAAAGGGATGAGATAGCATGCACTATTCTACATATTTTCCTACACTACCCATACATAAAGATTTAGCTTTTGCACAGCATTTACTATTTAGATGAACTGCTTTAACTTGTTGATCCCTGGTGGTTGTTTCCATGTTGTTTTTATTTTTATTTATTTGCTGTTATAAAAATGCTGCAATTAACAATACTGGATATGCTGGCAGACTTTTGCAAGTATATCCATAGGGCAAATTTTCACCAGTTGGATCCCTGGGCAAAGAACATTTCCTAATTTGTCATCTATTGTGAGATTGTCCTCTTTAGGGTGTTGGCCATTTACTCTCTTTCTGTAGCAGTGTCTGCAAATGCCTGTGCCACATATTTTTAATGTAATAACCTAGTGTAAATTATTAGGCTTCTAGTGTTATGTGAAGTGGGCCCCCAAATTGAGGCTGTTTTATGCTGCTTTATTATTGTTACATTCTTGCTTGCTTCCTCTTCTGCACAGAAAAACCTCTAGTCAGTCCTCCTAATGACTGAGGGTGGCTGAATAGAAGGGCTTCCTGTGGCTTCTCCACATAGCTCTCAGGCTGCTTGGCCTCTGGGAAGCCCTGTTGTTGATGTGTTTTATCTGTTTTATACATTTCCTGCAGGAGGAAAGCTGAACAAGGACCTACGACACTTTCTCAACCAGCGGTTCCAGAAAGGGTCTCCTGATCACGAACTCCAGCAGACAATAAGGGATAATCTGTATCGCCATGCTGTGCCTTGTAAGTAGCCAGTTTGGGCACCTTACTGATGGGTGGGTGTGTGAAAATAGAGGGAGATAGGAGAGCTGGTCTGGAACACGTGACAGCTTGCTTGCTCAGTGGCTCCATAAGTCTGGGAATCATAATCAACAATGGGATTCACAGAACAGTGTAAGGTGAATTACATGGCTTTCAAGTATTGGCTCTGTCACTTACTGGCTTATAATGCCAGGAGAGTTATTTCTCCTTTAAGGTTCAATTTCCACATCAGTGAAAAGGATATCTCAGTCATACTAATAACTTCATAGAACTGTTGTGAGTAGTAAATGGGATGAGGTATGTCAATTTTGCTTAGTATGGACAAGGTGTAAGCTTCCATAAATATTAACTATAATTGTTATTCATGGTGTGGACCAGGCCTTTGGACTAAGAACTGAGGAAGGAAGTGGGTACCTATTGCCATGCTGTGCCTTGTAAGTAGCCAGTTTGGGCACCTTACTGATGGGTGGGTGTGTGAAAAGGAGATTATTGGCAGTTTAATTGTGGTGAAGTATTACCATGTGCTACCAAACTTCATCCCTGTACAGCCAGTCATAAGGTAGTAAACCTGCAAGGACATGAAATTATTTGATTTCATTCAAAATAGAAGAAAGAATGATTCGAGAAGTTTTTTGTCTCTTCTCTATTACCCCATCCTTTAAAGTTTGAAATGTCTTTTTAGAAATATTGTATTTTAACCCGGAAAAGAAAGGAAGAATAAATTGAAGTTTAAGGTACCTTGCCTATTGCTGTGATTTGTTTTTTTAAAGATAATATTTCACAAGAAATGTGCTAGAGTGTGAATATTTCCTGATACTACTGCAAAATAATAAACATAACTTAATTGAATGCATGCCACAGCTCTGCATGGACTTAGACCATGCATCTAGACTGGGACCTTTAGAGATCAGATTCTAGAATAGACCCCTGCCCTCCATTTTACTTGTTGAAAGAACCAAGGCTCCCAGAGAAAGAGAGGTTGACTTCAAGTAATGTGGCTCAGTGCCCCAAAGTTGCCCCTTTCTGCAGAGTGGCAGAAATGCACTGGACAGAGAAAATGTCATAATGAATTAATGGGAAATTCTGGCTCTCATTTCTCTTGGGCTTTCAACATTGGAATTGAAAACTATAATCCTAATAGTATAATAATAATTCCTTACACTTGGCTTAGTAATAATTTTTAATATTAATCACATGGGTAAAGCAGGATTATCATGCTCTTTTTATAGATCAAGAAACCAAGGCACTACTAAGGTAAGACAGTAAAAACAGGCTTAACAATGACCAGGGCCTCAGGTCTCCTGCCTCTGACATACTGTCCAATTTTACTCTTAGAAAAAACTTTTGAGGTTGGAATTTTTAATACCTATTTTATAGATGAGGAAACAGTCATGGAGAGAGGAGGTAACTGCTAAGTGGCATCTCTTAAACCGTCAGGGCTGTTTCTATAGCTATACTGGAGCCGCCTCTGAAGTTCTAGATCTTCAGTTTGAGTGCAGTTTTGCAGAATTTAGTAGCTGCAGAATCATGATTGTTCTGTGTAATTTTTCCCTACTTAGATTCCAATTTAAGAAATGGGAAATGAAGCACACAGGCACACCATTTCTTGACGCATCTGTGGTGTTACTATGGTTACATTTTTGGCATGCTTTCCCATTTATGTTTTCCACTGATTTTATTGCGCCTGACTGTGAGCTAAATGGCTTGATTTTAAGTTTACCACTATGTAGGAACTGGAGCAAAAATGATCTCAGCCTTTTAAAAACTGTGAAAAATCATGTTTTATCTTTGCTTGTATGAAGTCCTTGGTATTGATGTTGCATTCCTATGAAACCAATAAATTAGGAATTTGGAACATGGAAATGGTCTTCCTACTGGAAAAAAAACAGGTAACGTTTCATTTTACATTTCCTTCATAAAATGGAAAGGCAATTCAGAAGAGGTCTGTTTCTGAGTCTGGTACAGTGTGTGTGCCTTTGAACATGAGGAGGCCAGGTGGGACTTAGGATTCTGTTATAGGCTCTATATCTCCAGCCACATGTGCGTTTATTTGGATTCTTTGACCTATGTGACTTGTGAAGCAGAACCTCTGTACCAACCTGTCATGATAATTGGTTAGGAAGCCATCGATCTGGAGAATGGATTTTCCTGGTATGTATAACTGTGCCATAGAGAAACAAGCTTGTGTAATCTCTGTTTCCCAGAGCTTCCTGTTGCTGCTACTTCAGTGACTTCAGTACTTTGAAAAGGGATGACCTCATGAACAGGTGCTTGCCAGTTGGGCTAGCGTTCTTTACCTATACATTTTAGGAGGCTCACATATCATTATTAATTAATAAATAAAGCCCCTTTGTTCTCTAGTTCTTTTCAGTGTCTTCTAGTGCACTGGAGCCTTATGTGCCCCATGATGGTTTTACCACTGAGGCTCCATTTCATCCTCATCCCTAAGCAAAGACAGGGCAGGTAATAGTAGCCCCATTTCACAGGTGAGAAAATGAAGCAGCACACATGATTTCCTCAAAATCGAACCTCTTCTAATGACCTCATTACCCATATCTCATCTAGTGCTGTTTTAACTTTAATAGCTTTATTGAGATATAATTCACATACCATACAATTCACCCATTTAAAATATTCATCCAGTGCTATTTTTGTTCGTTATTATTCTCCACTCCCCTTTATTCAAAAACTTTTTTCCCACAGTATGAAAAAGGTCATTGCAGTTAAAATATGATTATATTTACCATTGAAAATCACCACACTGCCAAAATAAATATGACAGAAAAAAGAACTAGATGCAGAATGAGTCAGAAGTCCTGATGTGAAGGCCGGGGCTGCTGTGTAGCTGTGTGGTCCATGCAATCATGTAACCTCTCTGGTCTCATTTACGCTTCAGTAAAACGGAAACAGAGGCACCCTCTGCAATCACCATCTCCCCAGACACTGCCTGGAACCCTCAGAGATGGGTCCATCACAGGAATCAGGCTCAGCTAGGTGAATTGCTTGCCTGGAGTCACATAGTTAGCAAGTGGCATGGTCAGGGTTCAGACAGTTCTAACTCTCGTGTGGGGTGTACTAAATAACACTGATTAGAGCAGTAGAATGTGGACCATTGAGAATGGAAGAAAAAAGGAAAAAAGCTTCCCATTGCTGAATTTTATAGTTCTGACTGTTTAAAATCATGGGGTTTTATATCTTGGGGGTTGGGGCTATGTAAAACATTGTATCTTAAAAATAAGTGTCCTTTTCCTGAATTTCAAGTAACTCACTGGTATGTACAATGGAATTTTAATAATTGCTAATGATTATTTAGCTTTTAAAAATCATTACAGGAATCTCGTGAAATATCTAGGTTTATCTTATTTTTCATTAGATCTCTGCTTAGTATACTTTACGCAAAACCACCTTTAAATAAATGGACTTGATATGTATGTAAATATTATCTGTGTTGCTCACTTCTCTGATTCCTCAGAGCCATCTGGATAATATTTCTGTCACCTGCCCTTCAAATTTATTTAAGTTCTCAACCTCCTCTCCCTCAGTGCTTCAGCTGTATGAATGTCATCAACTCCCCAAACACACCTGGTGTCTTTTTATAACTGGATACATATTATTTCACTAACTTTCCATTTGACCAGTTCACAGCCTTCTTTTAAGCTCTAACCCAGAGACCACTTCCTCCATGAAGGCCTCCATGGATTGCATCTACTGCCCTCCTCAGTGCTCCCAGAATCACCTTCTGTGACTCCCATTATACCTCCTACATGTTTGTCTGTCCTATTAGAATCTAACTCTACTGAAGTTGGGAACTGTAGCTACCTCAGTGACCAGCCTGTACCTAGATTAGTGACTAGACCATCGGATAAGTATTTGTTGAAAGAATGAACACATGAAGAAATGGATGAAGATGCTCTTTGTTTTTCTGTTTTTGCTTTTTTTTTTGTTTTCTTGGCTACTTTGAATTTGGGAGAAACAGCAGGGCTGCTTTTGCCATAAAGGTTTTGGAATAAAAGGCAGCTCAGAGGCTTGAGCCCCTAGATGGCTGATAAAGCCTCCACCAATTACTTGGCTGGTAAGCCAGGCCTGGAGAGAAAGTCAAGGCTTCTGTGAGCTTGGAGCTGCTGTGCCCATTCACACTGCTTTGATTACAGTCTGGACACCCTGCACCTCCTGCATCAATAGTCTTCCTGCTTTATGACTTCTTGTCTGAGCTGGTATGACATCTGAGATGCTTGCTTTGGAATGGCTGCTTTTCTTGTGAAGATAAATGTGTCACCTGGCAGGGCTTGTCATTTACTACACTGTGGCTGTCAAAACGAGATACAACTCATCCTGTAGTACTGGTTCTCTGGAATGCTGAATGACACCCTGATACCCCGCCCTGCTCTCCTCTCTTCTCTTCTCTGGGCTCCACTCTAAGGAACTCTCTTTATTTTTCTTTATTAGAAAAATTTTTTTTATTGTTGTTCAATTACAGTTGTCTGCATTTCCCCCCCACCACTTACCCCCATCCCAGCCAAATCCCCTTCCCTCCCTTGTTTCCACCGTTCCCCTTGTTTTTGTCCATGTGTTCTTTATAGTAGTTCCTGAAAACCCTTGCCCCCCATTATCCCCTCCCACCTCCCCTCTGGTTACTGTCAGATTGTTCTTACTTTCAGTTTCTCCAGTTAAATTTTGCTTGCTTTTTCCTTTTGTTGATTATGTTCCAGTTAAAGGTGAGATCCTATGATATTTGTCCCTCACCACCTGGCTTATTTCACTTAGAATAATGCTTCACAGTTCCATCCATGGTGTCACAAAGGGTAGGAGCTCCTTCTTTCTTTCTGCTGCATAGAATTCCATTGTGTAAATGTACCACAGTTTTTTGATCCACTCATTTACTAATGGGCACTTAGGTTGCTTCCAGCACTTGGCTATTGTAAATTCTGCTGCTATGAACACTGGGGTGCATAGGTTCTTTTGGATTGGTTTTTCAGTGTTCT